TTACCTTTCAAAACACAATGTTTAGAAAATGTTTGTGCAAGTAGTACCTTGGCAAATGTTTTTCTCTTAACGTATTTTTCCTCAATATTTTAATAACTGTTATAGACGTCAATATGACAGGAATAACATGCAAGCAAGATCATATATTTAAAACAAATTTAGTGAAATTAGCCAATCGCTTAAAAAACCTGACTTTTATTCATTTTATTCATCAGGTCTCGGTCTTCACCTCTCGCGTATAGTATTTTTTTTTAATTGGTGCCTCTATCCCTTACACACAGGAAGGATCCAAAATTCCCGTTTTCGTGTGCTCAGATACTGCGTGCAGCCCGAATTTTGGAATTGCAACCTGGGTCGCACTGCAGGGTTGCGGAGGAGATGGCATCAGCGCCCAGCCTTCGCCCTAGCTCGCAGCCGGCGAGCCGCAGCCCACTGCCCAGGGCCAAAGTGCTGCTGCCTTCGAGAACGTGCAAGACCGTGCACATGTACGCGCCCGCCCTCCGTCGCCGTTTAGCAAATAAACCCGGATGTGCGGGGGTCGAGGACAGAGGAGCTGGCGTCTACCCATAAGGCAGCGCGCGTAGTTATATACCGCCACGGCGGTCTGAGGCGCTCATCCTGGGCTGCTGCTGTCGCCTAGGCCGCCGCCTAGTGTTTTCCCGCTCTTCCTTTTTCCTCCTTTTTCTCCTCCTCCTTAGAGTCCCAGTGTGGCCGACCTGTTCTGCGTGCGGTAAGTGTCCCCTGCCCCCGCCCGCGCCTCAGGGAAGCAGGCGGAGGCTGTCGCCCGCGGCTGTTACTGCCTCGCTCCGGGGGCGGCATCGGAGGCCTGGCGGCGAGGAAGGCAGGTTTAGGGTCTGGATGCCGGCGTGAGTCGCAGGATCTTCCAGGGCGTGGAGGAGGGGACGGCGTGGTGGCGCTGTGCCGGGTGGGCCACCATCTTGCGCCATCCCTGGCCGGGGAGGGATCTCGGGAAGGTAGCCGTTCCGTGGCTGGTTTGGCGGGCAACTCAGGCCGTGGTCGCGCGGGCAACCGCCGCTGCCTCCTCATCTTCTGGGGCCTGTGCGCTTGTCTGTCCCCAGACAGCCTTTGGCTTTTCTTTCTGGAGGCAGCTCCCTTTGATCTTTTGTACATTTGATGCGGGTGTTTGATGAGACCCGCCTACCCCCAAGTCTCTAAAGTCATACGAAAAGAGAACAGAAAGGGCTCTGAACTTTCAACCTTCAGAGGCCCTTGAGCCCATCATTTGTGTATAGCTTTCCCCCCACGCAGATTACTGGTCGTGGGGTGTTCACACCCTTGTTCTTGCCAAAGGTACTTCTCTCCTCCATCACAGAAATCATGCTCCATTCCGTTATTGTCTAGAGAAGAGCCCTTGAGAAGCGTGGAGTTAGATACACAATTTTTTAACAGTGGGCCTTGCAGGTTTTACTTAATGGAAAAATCTCATTCTGAGATTTTATCCTTCTCTAGACACGAAGGGAGTTCCTCTTAACTTATCTCAAGTTTTAATGCTTTTATTAAGGAGAAATCAGAATAAAATGTCAAGTGTACCAGCTTCTGCAAGCACCGGAAATCTTAAAGGATTCTCTTTGTTTGTAAAGATTGTTAGTTGTTTTTTTAAATATGTGGACTTAAATTTTGCTTTATGTTTTCAGTTTTGATCTGTGAGTTTTAATGTCTTTTAGGGCCATTAAATATAAAATAGAAACCAACAAATAGAGGTTTAAACTACAAAAGTCTCCACTTAGCATTTGTGAGATGTCCTGCTTTGGGAATGCTGTGAAAGCTCAAACTGTTTCCTTAAGGATAAATTTTACTGAACCTATGAAGGCACTGGCTTGCTTGTAAAATTAAGTTACAGATGTATGCCCTTGATATTTTAACATTGGTACAAATTCCACTATAATTGTATTTTGCATTTGTGTACCCATTGTGATGTGGGCTGTGAGGTGTTGATAGAACTATTTGGAAGGTAAGGAGAAGACTTTATACCAAAGTCATAATGGGTAGGAATTGATAGAACCGGTTCTTAAACCTACATCTTCTAACTCTTCAGCCAGTGCTCAGTTTACTGTATCATGCCCCACTTTTCATGGCAGTGAGGTGGGTAAGGAGAATAAATAAGGAGGCTCACACAAAAACAAACAAAAAATATTTTTCAATTCCCCTTTATATTTTCCACGTTTTAATATTTAAATATTATTTCCAAGCACGTTGAAAAGTTGAATAGCCCGTTGAAAAGGTTTTGTTGAAAGGTTCCAAATTTCAGCTTCCCCTGTTCAACCTATTTTCCTTAGTTACGTTTTCTATTCCAATCAGTTTTCTTCAGCCCAGTGTTTTACTATTTAACACCAGCTTTTTTTAGTTGAAAAGATGAGTAAGGGGAAAGGGATATATAATTCTGTACCTCCTCTTCTATTCTATTCTCTTTATTCAAGAGGACATTTAGAACCATACAAAAATATATTTGTTGCTGTTGTTACACTAACAGGAAAGGGGACATACCTAAATGAATAATAATTTTTATAAATAAAAAATAATCCATAGTTTTAGTGACAGGATATTGGAAGTTTATACTTAAAATACTTTTTATTTCAAGAGTAACTTGAAAGATCAAAAATATTTATGACCTAGTCAGTAATTAAATCTGTAACTGAATATTTTTTCTGTCTTCCAATGTCAAGAGGGTCTTAAAAATATTTGCTCTTCAGTTAGGTTGTTTTAAATAATGACTCAAGAAGACTTGGTTTACTCAGTAATTTGTATCTAAAATGTGTGTCTAGCCCTGGCTGGTGTGACTCAATGGTTAGAGCATCCACCCACACACCGAAGGGTCTTCTCTCTCTCTCTTTCTCTTTCTCTCTCTCTCTCCCCCTTCCTTTCTCCCTTCCTCCTTTCGACTCTCTCTAAAAATCAGTGGAAAAAATAGCCTCAGGTGAGGATTAACCAAAAAAAGGTGTGTCTAGACTTTTTTCCTTAATTTTCTAACAAAGCACTTTTCTTTTTCTTTTCAGGAGTGTTGTTTTGTTGTTGTTGTTGTTAATCCTCACCAGAGGATATTTTTTCTTTGAAATTTTAGTTAGAGGGGAAGGGAGGGAGGGAGAGGAAGAGGGGGGAGGGGGGGAGAGAGAGAGAGAGAGAGAGACATCGATGTGAAAAAGAGACATTGCTTGGTTGCCCCCCACAAGACCCCAACAGGGGCAGGGGAACAAACATGCAACCCAGGTATGTACCCTTGGCCGGGAATCAAACCACAACCCTTCAGTCCATGGGTCATTGCTCTAACTGCTGAGCCAAACTGGCGAGGGCTCGGGAGTGTTTTTATTCACTCTGAGTATGTCAGGAAAAATGGTCATTACTCTGCTGTAACATCTGGGTCCAATGGACCATTTTATTTTATTTGTTTGTATTTTAAGTCATTTTACAAATAACTTACATAAAAATAAAGAAATAGTGACCCCTGTGGTGGAGCGTTATCCCATGCACCAAGAGGTCTAGGGTTGGATTCCTAGTCAGGGCACATTCCTGGGTTGGGTTCTATCCCCAGTAGAGCACATGCAGGAGGCAGCCAATGATGTTTCTCTCACATCAATGTTTCTCTCTTTCCCTCTCCCTTCCTCTCTCTCTAAAATAAATAAAAACATATTAAAAAAAAAGAAATAGTGAAAGCAACTTTATTAGTTATTTAATAAAGATTTAGACTTGGTGTACTTCTTTATATATACTTAGAAAAACAAGATACATTTCAGGAGCTGATATAAGAATCCAACTGCCTTTTTTTATTTCTTTTTTTAACTTTATTTTTTTTAATGTTGAAAGTATTATGCCCTGGCCAGTTTGGCTCAGCGGTTAGAGTTTCGGCCTGCAGACCAGAGAGTCCTGGGTTTGGTTCCCGCTAAGGGCACAGCTTGTACCTCAGTTACAGTTTGTCCCTGGCCCCGGTTGGGGTCGTGTGGGTGGCAACCAGTCAGTGTGTCTCTCTCACATCAATGTTTCTTTCTCTCTCTTCCTCCCTCTCTCCCTCCCGCTCTATCTGAAGATAAATGCAAAAATGTCCTCAGGTGAGGATAAAAAAAAAGAAAGTATTACCAATGACCCTCCCTTTCCCCCATTGACCCCCTTCCTTTCCACCCCCACCCCCTCCTACTTTCCCCAACCTATTGTCTGTGTCCATTGGTTGTTCATATATGCATATTAGCTCTTTGGTTTATTTGTTTCCATTTCCCCCACCCCCCTTCTCTCTGAGGTTTGTCAGTCTGTTCCCTACTTCCATGTCTCTGGATCTATTTTGATTGACAGCTTATTTTGTTCATGATATTCCATAAATAAGTGAGATCATGTGGTGCTTATCTTTCTCTGACTGGCTTATTTCGCTCAACATAATACTCTCCAGATCCCTCCATGTCATCTCAAAGGGTAAGAGAAAATTTATCTTTGTGGTTGAAAGTATTACAGATATCCCTCTTTTTCTTCCCATTGACCCCCTCCTCCCCACTCCTGCCCAACTGTCTTTTATTAAGACAGATATTAAAGACATTTACAAAAGTGTAAATCAGTGCCACTCTTCTCACTAATTTTTTTGTTTTAGAAAATAGTTATTTTCATTAAAACTATTTATATGAACATGTATTAGGCTTATTATTGCTTTAAATAAATTAATACATATTTAGTTTTTTAAGTTTTAATTTCTAATATGGTAAGTTTCAGTAGATATAATACATATAAACAAAAAGTTCATTGAAGTCTTTAATAAGTTTTAAGAATGAAAAGAGGTCATGAAAATAAAAATTTTGAGAACTACTGATCTGATGTTCTTTATTGGTGCCAATATTTTAACACATACTAAAATTTTGTTTTCTTTTTAGTGCCAAGTAATACACAATAATTTTTGTGTGCTTTATTTTATCTTCTCAGTAGATATTACTGTTTTTATTTTACAGATAGAAGAACTAAGCTCAAAAAGGTTGATGAAGCATCCTATAGGTTTGATGACCAGACAGTGGTAGACGCCAAATTCCTACTCATTTATTCAGCCTATATGCAGTGTTGTCATCATTGTATTGCAGTTTTTTTACTTGACATTTCCCCTAGTGGATAAAATATACCCCTGTAAGTTGTGTGTCAGGGTCCAGCTGATCAAGAATGGTAAAAAAATTCACAGCCTTTATATCCAATGATGATTGTTTGAATTTTATTGAGGAAAATGATGAAGTTCTGTTTGCTGGATTTGGTCACAAAAGTCATGCTGTTGGTGACATTCCTGTAATCCACTTTAAGGTTGTCAGTGTAGCCACTGCCTCTCTTTTGACTTTTACAGAGGCAAGAAGGAAAGAACAGGATCCTAAGTTTTGATGGTAAAAACACAGTAGTAATACATTTTCATATGCAAAAAAATTAAAGCAAAATAATTAAAACTACAAAATCAATGCTATTTGAATCAACATTAATACATTGAGTGAATAATGTATTTTTATGAAACAGTCACTGCCTATTTTTGAATTTTCCTTACTGTAATTCATATCTATTTAAACAATAGCAAGAGTTTTCTATTTGAACCTTTTCAATACCTTCATTTCTATAGCTAACCATATTGTCATTTGCCCTTATTTAATGCAAATGTATCATTTTGATATCCTCTCCCTCTGATCTTTTATTATTAGCTAGCAGCAGTAAATGTTATAGTACTGAATGATAATACAGTAGTAAATACAGACAAAAGCATTAGTACTGATAGGATCCAGTGATTCTACTGGGCATTTTTCCAAAGGAAACAAAAACACTAATTTGTAAAGATATCTACCCTCCCCATGTTTATTGCAGCATTATCAACAATAGCCAAGGCATGGAAACAACCTAAGCATCCCTGAGAGATGAATGAATAGAGAAGATGTGATAGAGAAAGGAAGGAAGGAAGGAAGGAAGGAAGGAAGGAAGGGAGGGAGGGAGGGAAGGAAGGAAGGAAGGAAGGAAGGAAGGAAGGAAGGAAGGAAGGAAGGAAGGAAGGAAGGAAGGAAGGAAGGAAGGAAGGAAGGAAGGAAGGAAAGATATACACACACACACACACAGTGGAACATTATTCAACCATTAGGACTCCTGCTGTTTGCAACAACATGGATGGACCTTGACGGCGTTATGCTAAGTGAAATAAGTCAGACAGAGAAAAACAAATACTGTTTGATTTCACTTATATGTGGAATCTTTAAAAAACAAACAAACTTATAGACACAGAGAACAGATTGGTGGTTGCCAGAGGTGTGAGGGTTGGGAGTGGTGAATTGGGTGAAGGTGGTCAAAACATACGAATTTCCTGTTATAAAATAAATAATTCCCAGGGATGTAATATACAGCATAGTGACTATAACTATGAATATTTGAAAGTTGCTAAGAGTAGATCTTAAAAATTCTCATCACAAGAAAAAATAATTTATAACTATGTGTGGTGATTGATGTTAACTAGACTAATTGTGATGATTATTTTACAATATACATATATTGAATCATTATGTTGCACAGCTGAAACTGATGTCATGTTCTGTGTAATTATATCTCAATTTTTAAAAACATGAATATTGAGCCCTGGCCAGTTTGGCTCAGCGGTTAGAGCATCGGCCTGCGGTCCGGAGAGACCCGGGTTCGGTTCCCGCTAAGGGCACATACTTGGGTTGCAGTTTGTCCCCGGCCCTGGTTGGTCGTGCGGTGGCAGCCACTCGATGTGTCCCTTCACGTCGATGTTTCTCTCTCTCTGTCTCTTCCTCTCTCTCCCTCCCACTCTATCTGTACAAAAAATGGAAAAATGTCCTCGGGTGAGGATAAAAAAAAAAAAAAAAAAACATGAATATTGAAACTATGTGACAGTTTAGTTATAAGGTGGCCAGTCCAGGTGATCCCCAGAGCATGCTAATGTTAATATTTTAGATAGACAGCAAAACAGTGTATTGTTGTTGAGCTCCCTTGCACTATCTGAAATATATCTATTTTCCCCAGAGACCTGTCAGTTTGAAAAATGTTGGCATAATCCATTGGTAAGTGTATTATTGCTCTTCAATACAAGTACCAGAAACCTAGCTCAAAGTAGATGAAGCCAGAAATGAATAATTATTCCCTCTCTTAACTGAAAAATCTTAGTAGTCAATTTGCTTGAGCATGGCTAGCTTAAGATGTTTAAATTGTATCATCAGAATTTGAATGTCTCCCTTTCCTACCCTCTGGTTCTCTTCCCCAAAATCTATGGCTTTGCTCATCTCTTCCTTGGCTTCTTTTTTAGACAGTCTTTCTCCGCATTAAGACTCCACCACTCCTAGCCTTATATCCTACTAGCTTACTATTTTTAGCAGCTTTATTGAGATAATTCATATAACATACAATTCACCCATTTGAAGTTTACAGTTCTTTGGTTTTAGTATGCTCACAGTATTGAGCAAACATCACCACAGTCAATTTTAGAGTATTTTCATCACCCCTAAAGGAAATCCCATACCCATTGAGAGTCACTCCCCATTCCCCCCCAAGCCCTCCCAGCCCTAAGCAACCACTCTTCTATATTCTGTCTTTATGAATTGGCTGTTTCTGGACATTTCATATAAATGAAATCATACAATATGTGGTCTTTTTGACTGACTTCTTTCACTTAGTATAATGTTCTCAAGATCCATCCATATCATAGTATGTATCAGTACTTGATTCCTTTTTATGATTGAATATTATTTCATTACATAGATATATCACATTTTGTTTATCCATTCATCAGTCAGGCATTTGAATTGTTTCCCCTTTCTGGTTATTATCAATAATGCTGCTATGGATATTTGTGTACAAATTTTTGTGTGGACATATGTTTTCAATTCTCTCTCACCAGGAGTGGAATTGCTGAGTCATATGGTAACTTTATGTTTAACTTTGTGAAGAACTGCCAAAGTGTTTTTCCACAGTGTCTGCACAATTTCATATTCCCACCAGCAGTGTATGAGGTGTCCCTTTTCTCCACATCCTTGCCAATGCTTGTTATTATCTGTCTCTTTTATTATAGCCATCCTAGTGGATGTGAAATGGAATTCATTAATTTTTAAAATATTTTTCCTTGTGGTAAAATACACATACAATTTACCATTTGAACTATTTTAATCCATTAATTTTTTAAAAAATTTTTGTAGCATGAACTCTTAAAAGAGTACTGAATTTTAAATATATAAATCTGGAAACAAAAACTATCTAAATAGTAATTATAACTATTTATATAGGCAGTTTCCAAAAACTGAATGGGTGTGTTCCAAGAGGTGTTTGTCAGTTACTTGGAAGTCAGTTACTTGAAATTCATTTTTCCCCCATAGTATATTAAACATGGGCATAGTATCTCTATCTAGGTCAACAACAGGAATGGAGAGTTATTTACTCTTCAGCCTATTTTATGCCAACTCTGAGTTGCATAACCTAAAGACCCTTTGGAGTTGCTATTGTAGGAACACCAAGATTCTCACTGCACATTTTGCTGAATATTCCATTTCTGTAACAGATTATTTCATCTCCCACATAATTCCTTGCTTTGGAACCAAAACTCTGAAGTGATGACTTAAGAGTTTTTGTGGTGATAGTTTTGAAGGGCTCAGCTACCCTATTAGATAGCATAGCTTTAGGCTTAAGATATGGTTCTAAATGGCTTCTGAGGATTTCTGACGTTTTAGAGTATTTGTGAATATATTAATTGAGGCTCCTTGGTGGCTGCTGTGGACCCCAAAAGCCATTTTCATAGTCACAGGCAGTAGATAGGACATGTTTACATATACTATTTGTACATTTAGTACTAATTTTAAGGTATTTGTGTCAATAGATATTTTATATGATTGCTTAATAAAAGAGTTCTTCATGAGTCTCATGCAGTTATGACTCTTAAAAATATTCTGTATTCTTGACATTAGTCCTTAATACTGAGCAAGAATTGTTATGTATTTATCTACTTGACATATGCATTACCTTAATTCTAGTTGCAGAACAAGTGATAACTATTCAAATAATTGGGTTAAAAAGATTTAAATAGTCCAACCTCAGAACTACAGAAATTTACTTATGTACTGAATCACTAGAGATTCTTATAATAGTAATTCAAACATTTATAGCAGTTACTTCTTCTGGAGTTAAAGAAGTTTTTTTTCCCCTTTGGTTTAATTCATTCTAAAAAATTTAGAATTGGAAAAAACACGAAAGCCTGATTTTATAGTCTGAGAATAAAGATAAATATGAAGACTCAACTGTTTATCCTAATATATTAGATTTCTGGTGTCTAATTTTTTTTTACTTTTTGTTTTATAACTGAAATAATTTTAAGTATGTTTATCTTATATGTAAATTATGGTATGTACATGAGAATTCAGAACACAAATTCCTGTTTTAAAGAAAGCAAAATTTTTATAATGTTTAATGGTACCCCCATTTTTAAAAGCCCAAAGAATCATAGATATATAAGATTGTAAACTTCTGGAGGCAAGGCTATGATTTATTCATTTTAATTTTCCCCTAAAACTGAGCTAATTACCTTGAGCACAGAAAGTAATGAGTAATTATTTTTTAATCAATCTATGATGTAATTTATCCAATTACTTTTCTGTTTCTTTTAGTTAGCACTGATAAGAAATAAAAAAAGTAAACTAAAAATTCTTTTAACATGTTTTTATATAATAATTACATTATTTCTGATATGAAGAATAACAGCTTGATGTCACTTAGCATTCAAAATTCAAATTTAATAAAACATATTAAAGGGTGATTACTCATTTTTGCAAAAGGATACCTTTCATAGATTATTTGTAATTTAATAATTCATCAGATTTCTTCAAGTAATAAATGCTTTATACATTTAGCATTTGATTTACTAAATTTGCATTAATTCAACCAATTATGGAAAGTAAGTAGCATGTGTGTATATGAAACACATCAATCTCAAGAGGTAAGCTTTTCGTAGGAGAAAAGTATTAAATGTGTGTACATTTAATTTAACAAATCCACCCTAATAGTAGGTATGTTTATTTTATAGGTCAGAAAACTAAGACCTAACTTGCTACCTTGTGTGGAGTCACATGGTGAGTTTGCCAGAGATCAAAATCAGACCCAAAGATTTCGGGATCTCAAGTTTCATGTTTCAATTTTGGTGTTAAAGTGACTCATAAAATTGATTGATGTCGTATGTTGGTGCTTAGGTGACTCTGCAACTTGATGGATGACAATAAACCTTTTCATCCAAAAAGTAAGTATTGCTGCTGCAAGTGATACTGGTATGCGTGACTTTGTTACTTATAACCTTGCTTCACGAGAAAAAGTGAGAAAGGTAGAGGTGGGCACATTTAAAAAACACATTTATTAAAGTAGTACACACTCATAGTAAAAAAGAATAATATATAATAAAAATGTTAGTAAACTAAAAATGAAATGTTTCTTCATCTCCAGAGATAATTACTAATATCAGTTTGGTATACATAATCAAACCTTTTTATGTATAGACAAACTAAATTATTTCTAAATAAAATCATACTATATATGCTATTATATGCCTTTAAATAAAGTTTTACTCAACAGTCTACCTTGAAATACATTTACAGTGGCAGTACCTAGTTAAAAAATGAGGAAGACTTATGAGCATAGATGTAAATGATTTTTTTTATTATCAGTATAGAGAGTCTCCCTCATTTTTAAAAAGATAGCATTACCTGACTTTACCTAGTTTCTTAGCCCGTGAATTGTCATATGTTAAGTGCCTACTGCATATCCAGTAGGCTACTATGTGTAAGAGGAAATACAAAGGAAGAAGAAAATATGTTCTTCAATCACAAAGAGCTTACTTTGGAGGATAGACATGTACAGTTCAGGCATATTAATAGTGAGCAGTTTGAGATCATGTATGGTAAATTTTGAATTGCATGGAATATACTGTCAATGTAGTAAGAGGTGAAAGAAAAACAAGGTTTAATGGTTTATTGAGGAAATTATAATTGAACCAAGAGTTGGGAAGGGGCAGGGAATTAATATTTTGTTGAATATCTGCGTGAAGTTAGGTACTTTGTATGACATTTTCCTGAATTTACCTTACCACTTCAATTAGGTTGATATTATACCAATATTAGAAGTGAGGAAACAGATCCAAGCAATTTCTCCAGAGTCATATGATTAGAAGTGGTGCAGTGAAGATTTGAACTATTCAATTTGATGTCAAGTTCATGCTCTTTCTACTATACTTAAATAATGTGGACAGTCTAAGGTAAGGAGGAAAGATATAGATGGAAGAAGTAGTACAAATGAGGGCTTCAAGGGACAAAATGAGGATGGTGTTTTCAAGTATTCAGAATATGCAAGTGCTAAACTATGAATTACTTTTTAATTTTACTTAGAACATTGTGTGTGTGTGTGTGTTTAAGTATAGTTTAGAAAAGAAAGGGGTTGGCTCATAAAATTGGTTACAATTGGGAGGGTGAGAAGGTTTTTTTTGTTTTCTTTTATGGGAGGTAGACTACTAAACATTAAGCAACTTTATGCCAAGAAATGATATTGGCATACTGTATAGAAGGAGAGGTATATTAAAGTTTTTGTGTTTTTTTTTAAATAGCACTGATTTGCCCAGCCAGTGTGGCTCAGTGGTTGAGCGTCTACCCATGCACCAAGAGGTCGCCGGTTTGATTCCAAGTCAGGGCACGTGCCCAGCTTGTGGGCCAAATCCCCAGTGGGGGGCATGCAGGAGGCGGCCAGTTGATGTTCTCTCTCCTCGATGTTTCTATCTCTCTCTCTCCCTCTCCCTCCCTCTTTCTCTAAAATCAATAAAGAAAAAAAAAATAGCACCAATTTGCCTAGCCAGTGTGGCTTAGTGGATTGAGTATTGTCCCATGGACTGAGAGGTCCTCGTTCGATCCCCAGTAAGGGCACATGCCCAGGTTGCAGGCTCAATCCCCAGTTGGGGGGCTTGCAGGAGGCAGCCAGTCAGTGTTTCTCTCTTTCCCTTCCTCTCTCTCTAAAAAAAATATTTAAAAAATAAAAATAGCACCAATTTGTTAAGGTGTTTCTTTTGTATACACTCCCCAAATCATTGTATTTACATAGTACCTTTTTTTTTTTTTTTTTTTTTGGTTAATCCTCACCCAAGGATATTTTTTCCATTGATTTTTAGAGAGAGTGGAAGGGAGGGAGGAAGAGAGAGAGAAAAACACACACATATGTGAGGGACACATCGATTGGCTGCCTCCCACATACGCCCTGACCAGAAATCGAACCTGCAACCCTTTGGTGAGTAAGCCAACACTCTAACCGCTGGGCCACACCAGCCAAGACTACATAGTGCCTTTTCATTTTGAGTTAAAAGTAGAGCCCTGGCCAGTTTGGCTCAGCAGTTAAAGTGTCGGCCTGTGGACCAAAGAGTCTCGGGTTTGTTTCTGGTCAAGGGCACGTACCTTGGTTGCAGTTTGGTCCCCGGCCCTGGTGGGGGTCATGTGGGAGGCAACCAGTTAATGTGTCTTTCTCACATCAATGTTTTTCTCTCTCTTCCCCCCTGCCCCGCCCTCCCCTCCCTCCTTCCCACTCTATCTGAAGATAAATGGAAAAAATATCTTTGGGTGAGGATTTAAATAAATAAAAAGTAAAAATGACATTATTTTAACCTAGTAAAATTACTTTAGAAATTGCTACATTTAAAGATGAATTAAATATATCATTGTCTAAAAAAACATATTGTCTATGCCAGAACCCTAGAATTATTTTGTTTTATTTTTACTTTTATTGTTTAGTTGTTTCCTATCTGTGTCTCATTCTATATATGTAGCATCATTTCTATCCATCCCTGTTGCCATTATATTCATTAAGTGCTCCCTAAATACATTTCAAACCAGAACAATACATGCATAGTTTTAAAAAGACAAATAATCTGAAAGTTATAAGTTGCATAACTACTGTTTCTTGAAAGGTGTGAAAGAGCAAGAGAGAAGGGTGTGCATGTGTATGCATGTGTTTTGGGCCTATATACTCCCATGTTTTTTTAAGGCATCCACTATTATAAGTTCAGCTGTTTTTCTAACCATCACTTCTACATTTATAAAATTTTAAAACACATATACATAATGCTGTCTCTTGAATCATAAGTTTTTGCCATTATCTAATCATTTTCCTGTTAAGTAATATGAAGACTGTAGGTTTCTTATACTTACCTTTTCCTCCAAGCATCTTCCAATGTAGTTATATCTCAATTTTTGGTTAAATCATATTTGATGTTTTATTACAATGACCATAATAAATATTCCCTGATGCGCATAGTACTGTGGTATTAATGTGTTATAGATACTTTACTTTATTCTCTTTTTAAAAAATATATCCAGCAATTTTTTTTTTCAGTCCTCACCCAAGGATACTCTTCCATTGATTCTCAGATTGGGTGGGAGACACATTGATGTGAGAGAGACACATTGGTTGCCTCCTGCACAACCCCAACCAGGGCCAGGATTCAAACCACAACCAAGGTACGTGCCCTTGACCCGAATCAAACCCATGACTCATTGGTCCACGGGCCAGCGCTCCAACTGCTGAGTCAAACTGGCCAGGGCAAACATATATACAGCAATTTAAATTTTTTATTTTTTAAAATTTGCTAAATTTAGTTAAGGTCTATCTATAGCCAAGCCATCTCACACCCTTCTGTAGCCTCTTAACTCAGTTTTCTACATGGTAAAACTTGTAAAGTAATCTAACAGTTTAGTTTTTAATTTCTGCGTGTGTGTGTGTGTGTGTGTGTGTGTTCTCCTGGAGACATTTCTTCTGGGAGTAATGTTCTCCTGTTCTATATTGCCTGGTTGTTGTCTACACCTGTTGAACAGCTGTTGTCCTGGGACTTTCCTTTGTCTTTGTATTGTGTTAAATGTCATGTTTTCTGCATCCTGGTCTCCTCCTTATTTTTTCCAATCCTCACCCAAGGATATGTTTATTTTAGAGAGAAAGGAAGAGAGAAACATTGATGTGAAAGAGAAACATTGATTGTTTTTGCCTCTCATATGTGCCCCAACTGGGAATTGAACCCACAACCTTTTTGGTATATGGGACAATGCTCCAACTAACTCAGCCACTTGGCCAGGGCTCCTCCTTGTTAAGTGCCATATTTTGGTGGAATCTTTCTAAGAAAGAACAAATGAATGGGAGGTAAATTTTGTCTGATGTTTCTGGTCTTTATTCTTGATGAAAGAATATGTACCTTGTGTTTAACAAAGATCTTGGCTGGGAATATAATTCTAAACTGAAATTTATTTTTACTAAAACTTGTGAAAGCAGTATTCTAACTTTTTTTTCTCTTTCTCTCTCCACTCTCACTCTCTCACATGTTACAATATTTCCTTATCTCCAGCATTCTGAAATTTCACAATATATCCCTCTACTGTAGGTGTCTTTTCTTTATTATTGTGCTAGGCACTGGTGAGCCCTTTCTCTCTGGAGATTTATATTCTTAAGAACTGGGAATTTGTCTTGTGTTTTTTCCTTTGATTATATCCTCTCTCCTTTTGCTTTATTCCTTTTCTAGAACTTTTATTAGGCGAGTTGTAACTTTGAAATGGACTTTCCAACAATCTTGTCTTCACACACACACACGTGCTGGGCAAAAATAGGGTTACAGTTGTGAGTACGTGAAACAGTTTATTCTTTTATTATTATTATTAATTGTATTATTTTCCATACGAACAACTGTAAACCTACTTTTGTTCATGTCTGTATATATATTTTAGTTCCACTTATGGGACATTTACCCAATTTTGGCATTTAATTTTTTACTGAATTTTGGCTATATTATTATAATCTTTCTGTTTTCTGAATGTTACTTTTTACAGCTTCCTTATCTTCTCTCTCTAAAATTGTTAATTATATTCTCTCTAATATTTTCTCCTGCCCTCTATATTATTGCTGTCTCCTTTAACTTCTTTTATTTTGTTTTATTGCTTTTGTCTTTCACATTGGAGGTTTTAGTCATATTTCTGATGTTCATTAGTTGTACTTCCATATTTAAGAATGAGGCACCAAAGTGATCATGAGCTCTATGTACTTGGACAGCACTTGTAGTTTGGTGGAATTCACAGTATGTTCTTTGCTTAGTTTCTTCATGTGAGAAATATCTAGATCTATCCTGAGATGGAATAAGCCTAACTTAGTATCTCCTATTTTCACTATAGCACCACATTCCTGCTTTGCTCTGTGCCTGATATCCCTCAATCTGGTTCAGTTTTTCTATTATTTCTCCTACCTGTTGCCTGTTATTGGTTGAAACAGAAGTTTGTGGGGGTTTTCTTTTTTTCAGATAAGTACAGTCCTTTACATAGATATAATCATATTCTAGTTATTAAACTACAACTCACTTTGAGTGGATTTGATTGTTCCTAACATTTATTGGCCACTGTAGATAACTATTGTAATCCATTATTTATCTAGCTAGCTTAATTTTACTAGTTTAGATATTAGAGGTTGAATTTTTAATTTCTTAATTTTGCTACCATTTACTGACTGCAAATATCAATTCAGTAATTACTGTTAGGGTTATAAAAGTACATGTTAAATATCATACTATGTATTGCAAAAATATTTTAAAAATAAGATTTGCTTCTCTCCTTTTGAAAATTAGATAATTCAAAAATGGCAGAACTCTTTATGGAATGTGAAGAAGAAGAACTGGAACCATGGCAGAAGAAAGTAGAAGAAAATCAGGATGAGGATGATGATGAGCTGATTTTTGTTGGAGAGATATCAAGTTCAAAACCAGCCATTTCAAGTAAGCATTTATTTTCAGTGAAGCTTTATAAGATGTTGCTAATGGAAAAACCTGTTTTCTCTCTTGTATGTCCTTGTTACCCTTTAAGGTGAGAAGGAGCATAGAGGTCAGTAAGAATTTGTGAAAATCAGAGCGAGAGTGTGGTTGGGATTTGTACCTAATGGCATTGTAGGCCTTCTGAGATTGGAAATCATAATTTTTAGTAGAACCAAGTAGCCTATGTACCTGTTTATTTGTTAATTTTTTCTTTTTCTCCCTGAAGCACAAATGTACCTAGAAAAAGAAGTGTTTGGAAAACTTTGCTTAAAATACCAGAATACTGCCCTGGCCGGTTTGGCTCAGTGGTTAGAGTGTCCGCCTGCAGTCCAGAGAGACCTGGGTTCAGTTCCCACTAAGGGCATGTACCTCTGTTGCAGTTTGTCCCTGGCCCTGGGTGGGTCGTGTGGGTGGCAACCAATGTGTCCCTTTCACGTCAATATTTCTCTCTCTCTCTTCCTCTCTCTCCCTTCTGCTCTATTTGAATAAAAAATGGAAAAGTGTCCTCGGGTGAGGATTAAAAAAAAAAATACCAGAATACCAAATAAGTTTGTGTTAGTTTCTGAGGGGGTTCTCATATCACAATGTCGTCTTGATTCATGGCTACAATATGAACAGGCACTGTATGATTATACAATCTATAGTCTGTGTACCAACATGGGCTGTAGCTTCTGACCACAGCCATCTTAACAGCAACTTCTGATTGTAGTCATGAAGGAAGAGGACATGGTCTTCAGCCTATGTACTTGGACGATACAGGCAGTCAGCACACTTAATTCTCATGACTTTCTAGCTGAACATGACCAGTACCTTTGTGGATTGTTAGATTTCATTTACAGTCATTAGACTTAACATTGTTATAATGTTAAAGTGAAGATACTGATGCTATTTCTTTCAATGTCCAATAAAAAATGTGTAAAGTGCAGAGGAACAACTTACTGAATTTCAGGGGAGAAAGAGAAAACAGATTCTTTCCCATTATAGTTACTTTTTTAAGCCAGGAGAATTTACAAAAGAATGTAGCCAGCATACCAGTGTTTTCTTATTTATCATGGCAGTGCGTAATAGTATGGTTGAGAGACAAGTTTGGAATTTTCTGAAAACCTAGTTAGTTCTTGCTTCTCTTGACTCTAAACTTAGAATAGTACTTCTATTCAGTTTCATGAGAGGTAGAATAATTTAATTAGCAAAATTATTTCTTGTGGCAAATTGAAAGGTGCTAAGTGGAGTGCCACTTCAATTATAAAATGAACTAGGGATGTTAGCATGTTTGCTTGTTATAGTGGAACAGAATATTATATTCTCTTTATTGTTTTCTAGTCACTGTTATTATTTATTTTGTTTTATTTTATTTTTTAATCCTCACCTGAGGACATTCTTGCATTTATCTTCAGATAGAGCAGGAGGGAGAGAGGTAGGAAGAGAGAGAGAGAGAAACACCAATGTGAGAGAGACACATTGAGTGGTTGCCACCCACACGACCCCAACCGGGGCTGGGGACAAACTGCAACCGAGATATGTGCCCATAGCGGGAACCAAACCCAGGACTCTCTGGTCCGCGGGCCGACAATCTAACTGCTGAGCCAAACCAGCCAGGGTGTCACTGGTAGTATTTTTATACTAAAATATTACCAGATTTCAAAATTATTATTCAGGTTATCTTATTGAAAGCATGATAGTTCAAGTTGGAGTAATAGCAATTGTAGAGAACTGTTAATAGTACTTTAACTAGAATAAAGCATATTAGTTTTTTTTCCAATATTTTTTTCTTTATTGATTTTTAGAGAGTGAGGAAAGGACAGGGAGAGAGAGATAGAAACATCGATGAGAGAGAACATCGATTGGCCACCTCCTGCATGGCCGCTACTGGGGGTCGGGCTCACAACCCAGGCATATGCCCTGACTGGGAATCGAACCAGCAACCTCTTAGTGCATGGGACGACACTCAACCACTGCACCACACCAGGCAGGCTAAAGCATATTCATTTTAAGTGATTCTATCAAAAAGGAAGTTGACCCCAGTGAAATTATTTTTTCTAATTTAGCTCAGAATTTAAATGATGTTATTGATGTTTTATGTGTGAGCCGTAAAATATGTTTAACATATAGAACATGGGCTAAATATTTATATAGAACCACAATGAGGGAGAGGCTAAAAACTTATTGTTTGATAGACTACTGTCACCAAAAAAAGTATTATAGCAATAATAGCATTTCCATTAACATAAAACAACAACCCATATTTGACCATTTACTTGATAAATTATTTTATGAGCTCTGCTGCTTTTCTACTAGGCGGAAACAAAATTTTTTGAGGTTTTATGGGATTCTTTTTTTATTTAATCAAAAGTATATATTATTTTTTACGTTCAATATTATTTTGAGACTTTGGTCAAGATGATGGCGTAGGTAAACGCGGTACTCACTTCCTCCCACAACCACATCAAACAGCCATCATTCAGAACCACCTGATAGCAAGCTGAATGGAAGTCCTACAAATACGAAATTAAAGAAGAAGCCACATCAAGAGGGGTAGGAGGGGAGGAGGCGTAAACGGGCTGGTCCCACACCCACGTGTGGCAGATAAAAATCAGGATACCTCGGCTGTTAAAGTCCTCTCTGAGGAGTGAGGGGTTCCCATCCCACACCAGGCTCCAAGCTAAGGGTACAAGTGCCAGGAAGAGAAGTCCTCGTCACTTCTGGCTGTAAAAACCAGTGGGAACTGAGGCTGAGGGAGGCTAAGGCTGCTGATGTCCCAGGCAGTTCCTCTTGAAGGGCCCGCACATGGACTTACTTGGACTTGATCCTTCTGGGCTCCAGCATGGGAGAGGCAGCTTGAAAGCACCAGAGACATACAGGGAAGAACTGAATTGTTTAACATTGGGGCAATAGCTGGAGAGGCAGCTTTTTCCTGGACAGATTTGCTGTGGGAAGCCGTTGTTCCTTTGGTGAGCCCTTCCCTGGGGCAGCACACAGCCATCATATCTGGGACCCCAGCAACCTGGGTCACACTGCTTACCCAACCCTGGTGATTTCCTGAGGCCCTGCCCCACCCAGCCTTCGGGCCCACCCTAGCTGTTTCCAGTGGCTTTACCATAGGATTGGCCTGTCTTGGATCCTGCTTCAAATTTTCCTAAAATCTCTCAAACAAGCAGCATCTGGTCTCAGTGGGCCTCATACATCTCCTTAAGTGACCTCAGGCCTGGCACTAGAAGCAGCCAGCCTTGGTTCACAACTTGGCTTTTCCTGGGCACCTCCAAGCCCAGCACAAGAAGCAGCCATCTGCTGATAACTTTGTAGCTTATGCTGGGTGACCTAGGGTAGAATACAGGCAGAGGTTAACATTGCCCCAGAGCCAGTACACCAAGTGAACAGCATCAGATAACATCAAAGCACCACCACCCAATCACCTCCACAAATGACACACTCAATGGGTGGACTCAGTGGGTACCAGAGCCCTGCTGAAGTAAGTCTTGCTCTGTATGTTGAGCCCCCACAACGATGATCCTCCAAGGGAGTCAGAGGCCAGTGGCCAGTGGGCACAGCCAGTCCTTGCAGCTGATCAGCCTGAATAAATCCCTCTCATTGACGTGCCAACATTAATCAAGACTTAATTACAACAGAAGGATGTACAGTTCACACTAGGGCTGCACCTCGAGGGCCCAGCTGGAGTGACCATGGAAGTTGTGCCACTGGACCCTACAGGACACCTACTAAAATAGGCCACCCTACGAAGCCTAGGAGACATAGCAACTCTACCTAATATATAGAAACAAACACAGGGAGACAGCCAAAATGAGGAGATAAACATGTCCCAAGTAAAGGAACAGAACAAAATTCCAGGAAAAGAACTAAACAAAATGGAGATAAGCAATCAATCAGATGCAGAGTTCAAAACACTGGTTGTAAGGATGCTCAAGCAACTCAGTGAGACCTGCAAGGATCTTAGTGAGAACATCAACAACATAAAAAAGGACCAGTCAGAAATGAAGGATGCATTAACTGAAATAAAAAATAATTTACAGGGAATCAATAGTATAGTAGGTGAAGCCCAAAAGCAAACCATCGATTTGGAATATAAGGAAGAAAAAAATCACCCAATCAGAACAGCAAAAAGAAAAAAGAATCCCAAAAAAATGAGGACAGTATAAGGAGCCTCTGGGACAACTTCAGGCATACCAACATTCACATCATGGGGTGCCAGAAAGAGAAGAGAGAAAGCAAGAAATTGAAAACCTATTTGAAACAATAATGACAGAAAACTTCCTTAACTTGGTGAAGGAAACAGACAGACAAGTCCAGGAAGCACACAGAGTCCCAAACAAGATGAACTCCAAGAGGCCCACACCAAGACACATCATCATCAAAATGCCAAAGGTTAAAGACAAAGAGAACCTTAAAAGCAGCAAGAGAAAAGCAGTTCCTTACCTACAAAGGAGCTCCCATAAGACTGTCAGTTTATTTCTCTAAAGAAACTTTACAGGCCAGAACGGAGTGCCAAGAGATACTCAAAGTGATGAAAAGCAACAGCCTACAACCAAGATTACTCTATCCTGCAAAGCTATCATTTAGAATCGGTAGACATATGAAGTGTTTCCCAGACCAGAAAATGATAAAGGAGTTTATCACCACCAAACCAGTATTATATGAAATGTTGTAGGATTTTCTTGAAGGAGAACAAAAATATGAACAATAAAATGGCAATAAATACATATCTATCAACAATAGAATCTATAAACAAAATGAGCAAGCAGAACAGAAACAGAGTCATAGATACAGAGAATTTTTGTTGCCTGCCAAATGGGAGGGGGCTGCGAGGATGGGTGAAGAAGATGAAGGAATTAAGAAATACACATTTTTTGTTAGACTGATGAACCTCAAAGGGAAGGGGGGAGGTGGGGCAGGAAGAGATAAACCAAAGAACTTCTATGCACATATGCATAACCAGTGAACACAAATTATAGTGTGGGGAAGGCAGGAGGGGGGCGGGATTGGGGAGGAGGGGTCAATGGGGGGGAAAAGGGGAGACATCTGTAATACATTCAACAATAAAGATAAGTTTAAAAATATTTTTTATTAGTTTCAGGTGGATTCATAGTGGTTAGAGAATCATATACTTTAGAAAGTGTCCCCCTGCTATTTCCAGTACCCACTTTGTATTATATATACATAGTTATTAGAATATTATTGCCCTTGCTGGGTGGCTTAGCTGGTTAGAGCATCATCGTGTACAACAAAAAGGTTGCGGGTTTGATTAATCAGTCAGGGCACATACCTAAGTTGTGGGTTCGATCCCCAGACGGGGTGTGTATGGGAAGCAACAAATCAATGTTTCTCTCTCACATCGGTCTTTCTCTCTCTTTCTCGCCCTTCCTCTCTTTTTAAAAATCAACTTAAAAAAGCATATCCTTGCCCTGGCCGGTTTGGCTCAGCAGTTGGAGCTTCAGCCTGTGGACCAGAGAGTCCCGGGTTCGGTTCCCGCTAGTGGCACGTACCAAAAAAAAAAAAAAAAAAAAGAATACTCTTGACTATATTCCCTATGCTATACTTTACATCCTCATGACTATTTTGTAACTACCAATCTGTACTTATTAATCCCTTCACCTCTTCCAGTCCCCCACTCTGGCATTCACCAGTCTGTTCTCTGTGTCTGTGAGTCTTTCATTTATGTTTGTTTTATTCTTTAGATTCCTCATGAAAGTGAAATTATATGGTATTTATCTTTCTCTTACTGACTTATTTCACTGAGCATAATACCCTCTAGGTCCATATATGCTGTCACAAATGGTAAGATTTCTTTTTTTTTTTTTTTATGGCCCAGTAATATATCATTGTATATGTGTACCACTTCCTTTGTATCCATTTGTCTATTGATGGGCACTTGGAGTTGCTTCCATATCTTGGCTATTGTAACATTGAAGTGAACATTGGGGTGCTTATAGTCTTTCAATTTGGTATTTGGGGTTTTTTCATATATATATATCCAGAAGTAGAATCACTGGGTCATAAGGCAGTGCCATTTTTTTAATTTTTTGAGGAACCTCCACACTGTTTTCCATAGTGGCTGCACCAGTCTGCATTCCCACCAACAGTGCATGAGGGTTCCCTTTTCTACATATCCTCACCAGCACTTATTGTTTGTTGATTTATTGATGGTAGCCATTCTTGATAGGCATGAGGTGCTATCTCATTTTGGTTTTAATTTGCATTTCTCTGATGATTAGTGACCATGAGCATCTTTTCATATGTCTATTGGCCATCTGTATGTCCTCTTTTGAGAAGTATTTATTCAGTTCCTCTGCTCTTTTTTTTTTTTTTTTTATCCTCACCCGAGGACAAATTTTCCACTCTTTGTTCAGGCAGAGTGGGAGGGAGAGAGAGGAACAGAGAAAGAGGGAGAAACATCGATGTGAAAGGAACACATCGAGTGGCTGCCACCCGCACAACTGACCAGGGCCAGGGACAAACTGCAACCGAGGTACGCGCCCCCAGCGGGAACCGAACCCCGGTCTCTCAGGACCGCAGGCCGACGCTCTAACCGCTGAGCCAAACCGGCCAGGGCCCTCTGCTCATTTTTAATTGGATTTTTGGTATTGGGTTGTATGAGTTTTGTTTTTTTTAATTTTAGAAATTTTACTTTTAAATTACAGTTTACATTCAATATTATTTTGTATTAGTTTCAGGTGTACCGCATAGTAATTAAATGATCATATACTTTCAAAGTATTCCCCCCTCCCCCAATATACCCACCTGGCACCATTCATAGTTATTACAGTATTATTGACTATCTTCCCTATGCTGTACTTTTACATCACTGTGACTATTTTTTAACTACCCATTTGTACTTCTGAATCCCCTCACCATTTTCACCCAGTTCCCCAACCCTCCTCCGCTCTGGGTAGAATAGATGTATGTTAAAACAGAGGGGAAATTATCCTCTTTGTCTGCATCTTGGTAATTTTCTCAGCACAGTCCTCTCCAGATAGCTTTCACATTCCAGCTCCCTGTTTATATGATACAGGTAGAGTGTCTGCAGCATACTGAAGAGGGAATACCCCACTCTTCATGTCACTCATTGAGATTCCTTCCAGTTAACTGCACAGCCTTAGTGATGTAGTGACTTATTAGACCTACAGTACCTGCCTGCCCTGTATGAGTTCTTTATAAAATTTAAATATTAATCCCTTATCTGGTATATCATTGGAGAATCTTTTCTCCCATTCAGTAGGTTGTCTTTTCATTTTGTTGATGGTTTCCTTTGCTATGTAAAACGTTTTAGTTTGATGTAGTCTTTGGGATTTTTTAATGCCTTGTACCTTTTCCTGATTAGCATTTTAGGCAAATCTCTACTCTTCCAATTTTTTATTTGATTCCTCAATAATTTAGAAGTTACAGGTTCACATGGGTACAAGAGTGAGCAATCTTAAACTGATCCAGAGAGTCATGTTAGCCACAAATTTACTTTTGGTGTAGTAGTAGATTAGAGATATTTTGGTTAGCTCTGGGTTCAGTTTACTCTGCAGTCTTTGACAGTATTCCTTTTAGAATTTAGGAGTGATGGTACAGATAATCCAGTCAACTTCTAGGCTTTTAGGGGTATGAATGTGGCATGGGAATTAGGGTAGAGCTCAAGTCACAAGAACCCAAGTCTATATACAACCTTGTTCTATTGTTTATATATTTTATTCAAATAAATTTTAAAATAAATATATATATTTTATTTTTTTATTTTTCAATTGCAGTTTACTTTCAATATTATTTTGTATTGGTTTCAGGTGTACAGCATAGTGGTTAGATAATCATATACTTTATAAAGTGTTCACCCCCAATATGTCTAGTTCCCACATGGCACCATACATAGTTATTGCAGTATTATTGACTATATTCCCTATGCCGTACTTTACATCTCTGTGACTATTTTATAACTACCAATCTGTACTTCTCAATCCCTTTACGTCTTTCACCCAGTCCCGCAACCCCCTCCCTCCCCTCCTCAACAACCACCAGTTCGTTCTCTGTGTCTGTGAGTGCATTTTAATTTTGTTTGTTTAAAATAAATGTAATTTTTATAGATATTTTGAACAGAGGTAACTCCAGCTCGTCTTCAAAGGGAATAAAGAATGAGCTACTCAATCAAGGTAGAGTATTATTGTACTATATTTTAAAGTGAAATATTTTGACAAAATTGGTTATAGAGCAAAATATTTAATGTGTTGTATAATTTTAAAATACAGGTGTTACTGGTGCATTCAAGCCTACAAGTCAACACTACGAAGACCCAACAGCAAATCCAGTGGCTGCCTTACCTAGATTTCATCCTCAATCTAAATCTTCACATAGCTCTGTTATTCAGAACGTATCTAAACCTGTAAGTGTTTCTGAAACTGCACTGTTAGCTCAGGGACACACTGGATATTATAAGACCCAGTTAGAATTGTGGACTATCATAGCTAGTCACCATTTCAGTAGAAGCATAATCACTGTAATAAAATATCACCATCTTTATGATAGCTCAACCAACACTCAAAGTAATAACTGTAAGAACTAACTATCCATCTGTTAATAAATCAGGTATTATATTTAGCATAAATAGATATAATATTTAAAACAATGCCATCTAAAAAGTATAATTAGTAATGAATGCTACATAAAGGCAATATTCTTAGATAGTAATTTGAACCAGATATTCTTAATTAGAAGATTGTTCTAAGGTCATTGTTGCTGTTAATTCTGAACACATCTTCATAGTTTTTAAATTTTTTTAACAGAAATAATAGATAATGGTAATATTTAATATTTGTTAGTCTGTTAATATTGAACTTTGTTATAAATGCTAAATATAAATTAATCTCATTTCATTCTTACGACTTCTCTATAAGGCAGGCACAATAGTTATCCCCATTTTATAGTTGAGGAAACTGAGGCTCAGAAAGGCTAAATAGTTCATTCAAGGCCATACAGCTGGTAAATGATGGATTTGAGATTTCAATCCAGGTTAAGCCAGAGTTTTTAAAATATGCTCACACACACATCTATCCATACATTTAGGTATATACTTTCAAAAATAGAAGCATTGCCTTGGGGTAACATTATAGACCACAGACTATTGGGGTTTCCTGAGACTCAGGGTTCCGTGAGGTTAAAATTATTGTCATAATATTTGCTCTTTTCACTTGTGAACATTTGCACTGGTGATGCAAAAGCAATGGAGAGTAAACTGCTTGTACCTTATTATGAATCAAGGCAATGGAACCAAACTGTACTAGTAGTTGTTGTATTGGTGACTTCCATGTGCCCACAGTAGAAAATTTTCTTTTAAGAATATATTTCGGTCCAGCTTATGTGGCTCAGTGGTTGAACACTGACCCATGCAGCAAGAGCTCACCAGTTCAATTCCCGGTCAGGACACATGCCCAGATTGTGGGTCCAATCCCCAGTGTGGGGCATGCAGGAGGCAGCCAATCGATGTTCTCTCTCATCAATGTTTCTGTCTCACTCCCTCTCACTTCCTCTCTCTCTAAAATCAATAAACGAAAAAATTTTTTTTAATTAATAAAAAAAGAATATCTTTCAGCCCAGCAGGTGTGGCTCAGTGGTTGAACATCAGCCTATGCACCAAGAGGTCGCCGGTTCAATTCCCAGTCAGGGCACATGCCCAGGTTGTGGCCAAATCCCCAGTAGGGGGCATGCAGGAGGTGGCCATTTGATGTTCTCTCTCATCAATGTTTCAGTCTCTCCCTTCCTCTCTCACTAAAATCCAATAAAGAAAAAAAATTTTTTTAAGAATATATTTCATTTAAGAATATCCTTGAAGAAGTAATAAATTTTTACTAACTTTATTAAGTCTCAACCTTTGAATATACTTCTTTTTAGATATTGTGTGTGATGAAATAAGTGGGGTGCATAAAGCATTTCAATATCTGCAGTATAAGGTTTTCTTGAGAAAAAGCACTGTGTGATTCAATTGCAAGCTGAACTCGCTGTCTTTTTAAAATGGAATGCCATTTTTACTTGAAGGAATGACTTACAGAACACCATATATTATTTATTGCTGCATAACAATAGTACCACAAAGTTAGAAGCTTAAAGCAATATATGCTTCTTACCTCATGGTTTCTGTGAGTCAGGAGTCAGGGTATGGCTTAACTGGGTCCTCTGCTTCAAGGTCTCGTGAAGCTGTAATCAAGGTGTTTTCCAGAGGTGCAGTATCATTTAAGACTGCTTCCAAGCTCACTTAGTTGTTGGTGGTATTCAGTTCTTTCTGGGTTGTCAGACAGGAGTGTCAGTTTCTTGCTTCTGTAAGCTAGAAACTGCCCTCAGTTGCTTGTTATGTAGGCTTTCTTATCATGACTAGTTGCTTCCTCAAAACCGGCAGGAAAAGAGACTCCTCAGCAAGAAGAGCTTTGTGACAATCACATATATCTCATCACTTTTGCCATATTTTATTGGTTAGATGCAATCACGGGTGCCACACATACTCAAGTGATTAATACACAAGAGTATAAATATCAGGAGGGAGACGTGGGGCCACTTTTAGAGTCTGTCTGCTACACAGTTTCTCAGTCCTCCAAAATGTACAAAGCACACCCATCACAGAAAAACACTGATAGCATTCTTGCCAATGATACTTTTTTTTGGGGGGGGGGGGCAATCTTTAATACATCTTTATTTATTATTTTTCTTTTTTAACTTATCTTTTATTGTTGAATGTATTACAGAAGTTCCTCCTTTTTCCCCTATTGACCCCCTCCTCTCTGCTTCCGCCCCCCTCCTCCCGCCCCCCTCCTGCCTTCCCCCATACTGTTGTCTGTGTCCATTGGTTATGCATATATGTTATCTTTTTTTACTTAATTAATTTACTTTTGTTACAGATGTTTTTCCTTTTCCCCCAGACACCCCTATCCCGATCCCACCCGCACCCTGCAAGCATTGTTGTCTATTTCCATTGGTTACGAATACATGCATATAACTTCTTTGGATTATCTCATCCCTCCCCCCTGCCCCTCTCCTCTGAAGTTTGTCAGTCTGAGCCGTACTCCTTTCTATGTGTCTGGGTCTGTTTTGTTCATTAATCCACAAATAAGTGAAATCATGTGGTATTTGTCTTTCTCTGATTGGCTTATTTCGCTTAGCATAATACTCTCCAGGTCCCTCCATGTCATCTCAAAGGATATGAGATCTTTCTTTCTTACAACTGCATAGTGTTCCATTATGTATATGTACCACAACTTTTTTATCCACTCATCTATTGATGGACACCTGGCTGTTTCCAGATCTTAGCAATTGTAAATAGTGCTGCTATGAACATAAGGGTACATATATTCTTTCTGATTGGTGTTTCAGGCTTTTTATGATATGTTCCTAGAAGTGGGATTACTGGATCAAATGGCAGTTCAATTCTTAATTTTTTGAGGAACACCATATTGATTTCCATAGTGGCTGCATCAGTCTGCATTCCCACCAGCAGTGTACTAGAGTCCTCTTTTCTCCACACCCTCACCAGCACTTGTTGTTTGATGATTTGTTGATGGCATCCATTCTGACAGGTGTGAGGTGATACCTCATAGTCATTTTAATTTGCATCTCTCAGATTATTAGTGACGTTGATTATTTGTTCATATGTCTCTTGGCCGTTTGTCCTCTTTGAAGAGGTGTCTATTTAGGTCCTCTGCCCATTTTTTAATTGGGTTCTTTGTCTTCCCATATAAGTTCTTTGGTTTACCCCCGCCCCCTATCCTTCCCTTTGAGGTTTGTCAGTCTAACAACCAATTTGTGCTTCTTAATCCCTTTACTTTTTTCACCCATTTTCCCAACCCCCCTCTCATCTGGCAACCAACAAAATGTTCTCTGTATCTATGAGAATGTTTCTGTTCTGCATGTTTATTTTGTTTGTAGATTCAATTGTAGATAGATATGTATTTATTGCTGTTTTGTTTGTTCATATTTTTTATCTTCTTTTTCTTCAGGAAGACCCTTCATATAATACTGGTTTGGTGGTAATGAACTCCTTTAGCTTTTTTTATGTCAGGGAAACTCTTTATATGTCCATCGATTCTAAATGATAGCTTTGCAGGATAGAGTAATCTTGGTTGTAGGTTCTTGCATTCTGTCACTCTGAATATTTCTTGCCACTCCCTTATGACCTGCAAAGTTTATTTTGAGAAGTCAGCTGACGGTCTTATGGGAGCTCCCTTGTAGGAGGTAACCAACTGCTTTTCTCTTGCTGCTTTTAAGATTCTCTCTTTGTCTTGCATCTTTTGAATTTTGATGATGATGTGTCTTGGTGTGGGCCTCTTAGAGTTTGTCTTGTTTGGGACTCTCTGCTTCCTGAACTTGTCTATGTGTTTCCTTCACCAAGTTAGGAAAGTATTTTTGTCGTTAGTGTTTCAAATAGGTTTTCAATTTCCTGTTCTCTCTCTTCTCCTTCTGGTACCCCCATGATGTGAATGTTAGTATGCTGAAGTTGTTCCAGAGTCTCCTTACACTATCCTAATTTCTTTGGATTCTTTTTTCTTTTTGCTGTTTTGATTGGGTGTTTTGTCTTTCTTATATTCCAAATCGATGGTTTGCTTCTTGGCTTCACCTACTCTACTCTTGAATCTCTGTAAATTATTCTTTATTTCAGTTAGTGCCTCCTTCATTTCTGACTGGTCCTTTTTTATGTTCCTGGGACCCTCACTAAGTTCATTGAGCATCCTTATAAGCCGTGTTTTAAACTCTGCTTCTGTTAGATTACCTATCTCCATTTCATTTAGTTCTTTTCTTGGAGTTTTGTTCTGTTCGTTCATTTGGGACATGTTTCTTTGTCTCCTCCTTTGGCTGCCTCCTTGTGTTTGTTTCTATGTATTAGATAGAGTTGCTATGTCTGCTGGGCTTCCTAAGGAGGCCTATTGTTGTAGGTGTCCTGTAGGGTCCAGTGGCACAGCCTCCATGGTCTCTCAGCTGGGTCCTCAAGATGCACCCTTTGTGTGGACTTTACACCCTTCTGTTGTAATTGAGTATGATTGCTGCTGGCACGTCAATGACAGGCTTTCACTAAAGCTAGTCAGCTGCAAGGACTGGCTATGCCCACTATCCAGTGACCTCTGACTACTTTGGATGATCAGCTGTGCAGGGGCCCAACACACAGAGCAAGACTTATTTCAGCAGGGCTCTGGTACCCACTGAGTCCACCCATTGAGTATGTCATTTGTGGGAGTGATTGGGTGGTGGTGCTTTGATGTAGTCTGATGCTGTTCACTTGGTGTACTGGCTCTGGGGCAAGGTTAGCCCACTGCCTGTGTTCTACCCAGGACCACCAGGTATAAGCTACAAAGTGATCTGCAGATGGCTGCTTGTGTTGGGCTTGGAGGTGCCCAGGCAAAGCCA